AGTGTTCCACCTTTTCTGGAAACCGGGCTGTGGTTTGTATTTAGATGATGGTTCTCAGCAGGAGCACACAGACGCCACAGAAACATTTCCAGTAACTGAACCTAGTTTTCTGCAGCTTCCAGTAAAAACTGACTCCAAAGAAGCCAAATGTCCTTACTTTCTTAGTCCATCTCTTCACGCCGTCGTAACCTTTGGCCACAAGCTGCTTGTGGAAAAAGCTGTTGAAAAAATGAACCTAAGAAAAAGAAACAGTAACTTTTTTTTTTTAATATCTAGATTCTCAAAAATAACCAGTGAATATTTTTTAATCAAGCATAACCCTACAAACACACCAGTCTTACCTTGTGCTCCGTAGCCTCCATAATGAGTTCTCCATACATGTTGATAATCTGACGAAAAGGTAACGTGATATCAGTACTGAAGGTGTAATATAGTCACAGCATCACTAACATTTTAAAGAATAAATAAAATATAAATACTGTATTCCTCTCTTTACCTGATCATTGAGCCAATTCTGTTCCTCCAGTGTGCCGAGGTCCTCCAGCCTTAGTGTGTGTTTATTATACATGACCATGAAGCCTGCAACAGGAGCAGAAGACAGCCCCGACTTGTACCGAGACATCTCTCTTTTGATGTCCAACCCACTAAAACAGACACGGAGAGAAAAGAATGTTAATCAAACTTCTGTATATGAGGTTCATCTGTTTATTTTACCTTTAATGACTTTAATTTAAAGAATAACGCTGAAAAAGACAACAGAAACTTCTAGAAGACGGATGCTAATGTAAGCAGCTCTGCTTCCACACCCATTTGTCTAAATCCTGTTGGAGCAATAAAGCATTATTCAAACAGGGATGGTTTGCCATCAGCATGTTGAGTCTTGAGCCAGTCCTCATTTCTTTATATGAAAATGGACGCAGAGATTCATTGAAACATGCCAACATCAATGGAAATATAGACAAATGCAGAGTTTGTATAGTTCTAACAAGCTTGTGAGTCGATATTTGGTAAAAGAAAGCAGAAGTAAACAGTCAAGGTCAAAACCTTTAGAAATCCTAGAAAGCTTTTGTTCTAGATGTCTTTAAGAATAACAAGAAAGACTCCACGGAAGCAAAATATGAAAAAAGGAGGATAACACGTTTTAGTTTCCTCACTGCAGTTCAGATATTACTCCAACTGTCTCAAAAGTGCAGATTATCTACGTTAATAACAGTCAGACAGGTAAATCAAACTGAGTTTGTGCCGACCTGTTGCTGAGGTCACACTTGCTCTCCTTCTTCAGGTGTTCCCGGACATCAGATTCACTGAGAGGAATGAAACTGCCGTATTTTATATAGAAGCTCTCCAGAAACTCTAAAACAGAGGAAGTTGTCATGAAAGTGATTATGTGACCCAGTGTGTTTGCTTTTAAATCTGAGAAATCCGCTAAATGCAGGGAATGCTACTTTCTTTTGGACAGTCTTGCTTCCTGGTAGGGCTGCTCGATTATGGCAAAAATGATAATCACGATTATTTTCACTGAAATTGAGATCTCGATTATTTGAC